TGCATCATTCCCCTACCTATCCTTCATTCTTTTTCTTCCTCATGTCAAGCTCACCACACTTTTTGTTTCTATTATTTGTTAAAAGAGAAACAATTGAGTTATGGCTGTGAAACATGTAAAACTAAAAAAAAGGTTAAATTAATTGGTTTCTATTTTTACAAGTATCATGAAGTGAATGATGCTAAATATGTCCTAATACAATGTAATTATCTGCTGTAAAGCTTCAAGGAGGATGAACAAGTCAAATGATTTGGTTTCTACACATTGGTCAAACAAGAAAAGAAAGAATTCATAAAAATGCAGTGTTAAAGTTTTGTTTTTTTACTATTGATAGTCCAAGATGAGAAGAATGTCCAAGAGGACAACTAGGTCTGATACTTCTGATTGCAGATAGTATGTAGTTTCCTGCTAATTATATAGTCTATTTAACTGGACAATAAAAGAAATCCATCTGAAAGTGTTTTTGTGTTTCTTGTATGTGGCAGTTCTCACATGACCTGAATTCCTTCTAGCTTTGAATATTATCTTGGGAATTATAGGTGGCACAATATGCAGCTGAGGATGGCAATGGAAAAGCAGCTTCTGATGCTGTTGAGCAATGCCTAAGGTTAGTTAGATTGGCCTTCAGAACATCTAATTGATCAAAATTCAGCTGTCCTTGGAACTTCTCAGCCATCGAGGTAGTTGTTCCTTTCACTGATTCTCTTCACTTTCAGGGGCTTGGAGGATCTTGACTCACTGTTGCTGCAAGCAATAAGAAATAATCCAACAGCTTCAGTAGAATCCATGAAGAGCAAACTCGATACCGTTTTGGGAGCCTTGGACAGGTACTGAAAATTTCCCTTTGATGAGCAACAGGATCCCAATCTTGTAGTAAGATTCTCCCATCATCCAAATTTTGTGGCTCATGACTTGATCCATGGAACAATTTGTCTACTTGTTAATAGCATGACCACCTCTTCTACTGATTATAGTCCAACCCCCAATCGTGAAGCATGAAAAAGTTAAGAAAAGAATGAACAGCTATTTACAGAAAATGGATTTATAATCTGACAAAAAGGTTGATTTCTTCTTGCAGCCTATTGCAAACTGTTCCATCCAAGGTGCTGGATAAAGGAAAGGCCATTGCAGAGGCTTATAGGATTCCAGGTTACCAGAATGATGAAGGTCCACCTGAGGATTTGGACCCGGAGGTGAAAAACCTGGAAGCCCTTCTTTGAGTGACATAAGCCTCCTCTACTGTGTTCCATTTTCTTCAAAGGAAGCATTTGCTTTATAGAGTGACCAAATGATCAGGTTTCTATCCACATCACCAACAAAACATCTGTAAATGAGCATTCCTCCAACATATCATTCTCATTGCTAATGCATGCTTAGTTATATACACTGATATGTTTGGGATTAGTGTACCCAATTATAAAGTGTGTGTGAATGTTGTGTTGGCATGGTAGACATTCTTTGTTTTGTAATTGACTAAGCTTTCCTTATATATACATATACATATACATATATACATATACATATATATATATATATATATATATATACATATTATATATATATATATATATATATATATATATATATATATATATATATATATATATATATATATATATATATATGTGTGATTTAAGGATATATTGTACCTAACCAGATAATCAATGTATCAAATAATCATATTAAACTTAAACTTCTGTTGACTATGACTTAAAGATAATTAGTATAAAATATCATCACATCCTTTACTTTTAGATTCGTGAATTATAAAATATATAATTTATAACACATGCATACATATTTAATAGGGCGAATTCTAAAAAAAAAAATTAGTTTTAAGAAATTGCCACATAGAGCTCTAACTTTTCAAAATGACAAAATAACTCTCCAACAACTTTTATCTTTTTTCCTTAAAACTGGTTATCTTCTCTCCCATTAAAAGTTGAATATTCTCTTTTCACCTTTTTATTAAACAAACTCATACAATTAAACAGATTCAACTGATCAAAAACTTGAACAAGTTCAAAATAAATTATATTAAATAATTTATTGATATATCAATTTATATTATTTAAAATAATATATAAATATATTAAATTATTATAAAAAAATAAAAAAAATTAATACTAAATTATATAACTATAAAGTAAAGAGTAATATAATAATATATATTAAAACAATATAAACTTTTAAAAACCGTTTAAGATACGTAAAAATAATTTTGAAAGTTCTATAAAACCATTATTTTTTATTTTAAGTTTTTAAAATAGTTTATTTACTAATTTTGGACCTTAAAAAGTTAAATTTATATAATAAAAACAAAAAAGTGTAATAAATAAATTTAAAAATATAAATTAAATATTTGAATTGGGCCTAGATAGACATATATCATTTTTTTTATTTTATAGATTTTTTAACATTTTTTATTTATTCAGAATATGAATAATTTATGTTTTTTTTATTTTCTCTATTTTTATTTCCAACAAAACATGATGGATCTATAGAATATTATTTGATATTTGAGCTTCTAAATAGATGAACAACCCTATGGGAAAAATTTGGTCCAAAAAAATTAAGCCTTGATATCCGATATACTATTTTTGGGGTCAAATAAAAAATAGTACATCACAAACAACGAGTGATCCGAATGCTTTAATTTTTTTTTTAAAATATTATATTGGACTCAGATGAACATCTATCATTTTTTTAATTTATAATTTTTTGATATTGTTCTAATTTATTCAAAATTTGAACTCTTTATGATTTTTTTTCATTTCCACCGAAGTATATTGGATCCATGCAATATTTTTTAATATTTGAGCTCCTAAATATATGGACAATCTATGGTAAAAATTTAATCCAAAAATATTAAGCCTTGAAATATAATATACTATTTTTATGGTCAAATTAAAAATAATATATTGCATACAAGGACCGGTCTAAATGCTCTAAAAATTTCATGAAATGTTTGAATTAGACCCATATGGATATCTAACACTGATTTTCTATTTTAGATATTTTTATCAATATTTTTTTATTTATTTAGAATCTACATAATATATAATTTTTTTACTTTCTCTATTTTTTTTTATTTCCTCCAAAATATGATGGATCCCTACAATATTTTTTTATATTTGAGCTTTTAAATAGATGAACAACCTACGATAAGAATTTAGTCTAAAAAAATTAAGCCATGATATCCGATACACTATTTTTTGGGTCAAACTAAAAAATAGTGTGTTGCATATAAGAACGGATCTAAATACTTTGAAATTTTTAGAAAACTATTGTATTACAACCAGATGTACGTCTATCACTTTTTTTTTCTAATTTAAAATTTTTATTTATTCAAATTTAAATAATTTATATTTTTTTTATTTTCTCTATGTTTTTTCATTTCCATCAAAATATGCTGGATCCATACAATATTTTTTGACATTTAAGATTTTAAATATATGAACAACCCATGTTAAAATTTTGGTCCAAAAATATTAAGCTCTGAAATATGATATATTGTTTTTATGGTTAAATAAAAAATAGTATATAGCATACAATGATGGATTCAAATGCTGTAGAATTTTTATAAAAAGTTTGAATTGAACTTATATGTGGACATATATCATTAATTTTTTATTTTAGAGAAATTTTTGTTTTTTATTTATTCAAAATCTAAACAGTTTGTAGTTGTCCTATTTTCTCCATTTTTTATTTCCTCCAAAACATGTTGGATCCATGCAATATTTTTTAATATTTGAGCTTCCAAATAAATATATGACAAATTATGATAAAAATTTGGTCTAAAAAATTGAACTCTTGGTATAGGATACACTATTTTTAAGGTATATCACATATAAGAACTAGTCAAAATGTTCTAAAATTTTTATGAAAGCTTTGATTTGGACTCAGATGGACATTCATTATCTGTTTTCTAATTTAGACATTTTTTTAATATTTTTATTTATTGAGTAGTCTATAGTTTTCCTATTTTACCTTTTTTATTTTTACCAAAACATGATGGATCCATATAATATTTTTTAACATTTGGGATTTTAAATAGATAGACAACCTATGATAAAAATTTGGTCTAAAAAAATTAAGCTCTGATATCTGATATATTATTTTTGATTAAATCAATTATTAGTGTATCACATGTAATGACTGATTCAAATACTCAAAAATTTTTAGAGAGGCTTTAAATTAGAGTCAGATGGACATCTATCATATTTTTTCTAATTTAGATTTTTTTAACTTAATAAAATTAAAAAATAGTGTATTTGATACGAGGATTGTTCAAAATGCTATGAAATTTTTATAAAACCTTCATGTGACACCAGATTGACATTCATGGCACATTTCCTATTTTATTATTTTTTGATATTTTAAGCATCTGAATAGTTTAAAATTTTCCTTTTTTAAAATTTTACTTACCATAAAAATATGACATATCCAAGTAATGGTTTTTAATATTTGATCTTTTAAATAGGTGAAAAACTTATTCTAAAAATTTGGTTCACAAACTTATTATTTTATTACTTTACTTTATAGTTATCTTTTAAATTTATTGATTATATTTTTTATTACTTTTTATGATTTGATATATTTTAATATATTTATTTATTATTTTGAATAATATAATAGTAATAATAATAATAATAATTCACTAATAGGGTAAGACTCTATATTTTTTTGACATTTTCTGTATAAATTTAACCTTTTAAGGTTCAAAATTAATAAACTATTTAAAAAAAACTTTAAAATAAAAAAATAATAGTCCTTTTGAATTTATTTTCATGTTTTAATTTTTAAATTTTAAATTTAAACTATATAAATATTATTATTATTATTATTATTATTATTATTATTATTATTATTATTATTATTATTATTATATTACTTTTGAATTTATAGTTAGATAAATTTTTTTTAATTTTATCATTTTTAAATATTTATTTATTATTTTTAGCATAATTTTTTTGAACCGATTGAAGTTTTTAGATGATTGAATTGAGTTCGTTTGAGAGCAAATAATAGTTTTTAAGGAGAGAAAAGATAAATGTTATTGGAGGGTTACTTTTATCATTTTAAAAATTTATGGCTCTCTGTACAAATTTTTGGAATTGGAACACTTTGCGAGAATTTTTTAAAACTAAAGATGCTCTACGATAATTCACCCTATTTAATAAATAAATAAATAAATTTTAAAAATATATAGTAAAGAATAAAGAAAAAATTCAAAAATAAAAAATTCTTGAAAGATTAATGGATGAATTCTTGAAAAAAAAATTGCAAACTTTGATTTTCTCTAATAGAGCAATTGAAAAATTCTCAATTAGTATCCTTGTCTTTTTAAATGATATGAATCATACCCTTTAAGAATAGGGCAAAAACATTGTATAAAATTATAACATTTTTTTTAATTTAGAGATTTTTTGATATTTTTAATTTTTCAAAAACTAAGTGGTTTTTTTTATTTTCTCTATCTTTTTTCTAGTTCCACCAAAACATGATAGATTCATGGAATAATTTTTTGTATTTTAACTTTTAAATATGTCCCTAAACCATGATAAAAATTTGATATACGATACCATGATATACGATACCATGGGTTTAGTTGAACATAAAAATTTGACCTCAAGGACTGTTTCAAATGCTATGAAATTTTTAGAAAAGCTTTCGGTGGAAAGCAGAACCTCTATCATAAATGTTCTAATTTAGAGAATTTTTAATATTTTATATTAATTCAAAATCTAAACAGCTTAGTGTTTTCCTATTTTCTCAATCTTTTATATATTTTCACCAAAACATGATGTATCCATATAATATTTTTTAACATCTGAGCTTTTAAATATATCCCAAAGTTATGTTATAAATTTGGTCTAGAAAAATCAACTCATGATATTGGATATCTTGATTTTGGTTGGATATAAAAAAAATTAGTAGTATTTTAAATTTTTAGAAATTTTAAATTCTATGAAAGTTTTAGAAAAACTTTCAGTTGAAACCAAATGGACCACTATCATAATTTTTTAATTTAGATATTTTTTGATATTTTTATAATTAATTTAAACTTTAAAGAATTTAATGTTTTTCTATTTTATCTTTTTTTATTTCCATCAAAACAGGATGGATCCATGAAATATTTTTTGATATTTTTTATTCTAAATATATCTCAAACCTATAGCGAAAATTTGGTAAAAAAAAATAACTCTTGATATGCAATGCTTTTATTTTGGTTGAACCTAAAAAATCAGAGTATCAACCTCAAAAAATAGTCTAAATGCTATGAATTTTTTGTAAAAGCTTTCAGTTGAAACTAGATGGACCTTTATCATAATTTTTTTAATTTAAAATTTTATATGTTATATTTTTTTTATTTAGCCAGAATCTGTTAGTTTGATGTTATTTCTATTTTGTCCATATTTTTTCTTATTTTTACCAAAACATGA